CCGCCAGCGTCCACAGGAGCGGCTGGTGCCCTCGCTCCGTCAGTAGCTTCGCCGCGGGTGGTCCACCGCCGCCGCGTTTCCTTCAAATTTCATCACGTCGTTCCCCGCCGACCGGTGCTCCCCGTCTGCCCTCTACTTTTGAAGATGAAGAAAAGGGTATGAATCCAAGCAGAAATTTTATACAGGGTCCTTACTATGAAATACGTTACTCATACGAATAGTATATGTTGGACTGCGGGTTAGTTTCAAAAAAACGTAGGGGCGTTTTTGCAAAATGGGCCACCGCCGCTAGGTTTTCCGTTGTGGGCCGTCCTGCTCGACTTGGGCTGCTCGGTCGATAGGCACAAGACTTTATGGGCCACGCTGCATCATTGGGCAGCCGCCACGCCGCTGCCGCGTCGCTTTGCCACTGGCCTAGGCATGCTTCCACGTTGTTTGGGCTGTTCACGCCACGCTTGGGCGGCTGTGCTGCCGCGCCACAGGGCAGCGTGTGCACAGTTTTCCACTGGGCCGAATAGGTGGCCACTGGCCCTTTAAGTTTTCTAAGCAATTGTTAATTTAGTTTCGAAAATAAACTTGTATAATCAATATAAATTTGTATAGTTGTCCAAAAATTGTGAAACCAGTTTTGTCGAGTTCCTAAAATCATGATCCATCCAATAGTGTATTTTTTCACATAGTTTGATAATATTCTTGGAAGCTATATAATTAATTTAAGGTACTTAATATTGTAAAAATATAAACTTGAAGGAAATATTGTGATAAATTGGTAATAGTGTTGAATCTAAAATTGTTACAGTAGGCTCCTAGCAATATTAGGTACTCATTGTAATTTTTGTGGCTCCAGAATAATCAGTTGCTAGGTAGCTAATGATGCTCTATTTCGAACAAGGATTAAATCGATAGAAAGAAATAAAGAAACAACTTGGGATTTGAAAGCATCTAGACCCCTAGTTGGGTTTCGGTGATTAATGACAATACGAGATTACTATGACTAACATGTGTTTTGCAGATGCAATTAAGTTAGGTCATGGTAATGGCAATTGATTGGGCAATCATGGTTGTCATGCCCCTACGATGGAAATCGTTTCGATTTTTAAAGGATGGACAACAAGGTTAAGGATGGACTGGTTCTAAGTGTCGTTTGGAGTTGAAGAGACACTTAGAGTAGTTTAGGACTTTGTTTTTGCTTTGGCCGTACTATTAAGGGGGGTATGGATGGGTAGCTTGACCTAGGTGAGTCTAGTGGGTTAGGTGTGGTGCACACTTATCAAATCTAGCACTAGGTAGATCCTAAAAAGCCCTTAGATCAATTGGAGCAAACTTCATTCACATATGAGTGTGAGTTGGAAGTGAATGGAGGGTCAAATGTTGACCGGACGCTGGTTCCGGTGTGACCGGACGCTGGCACAGAGTCCGGTCAGTTCATTTGATCAAGGTGAAGTCATCTGGTGCGACCGGACGCTGAGAGGTGAGCGACCGGACGCTGGGTGCCAGCGTCCGGTCGACTCCAGTAAGGTTCCAGAGAGCAGTTTTCGTGACCGGACGCGTCCGGTCAGTGCTGACCGAACGCTGGCCAGTGTCTGGTCACAACTTAAACTACGCAATGGTGGGTGAACTGACCGAAGCGTTCGGTCACCTTGATCATCCGATCACCCCGCAGAGGCACATAACGGTTCGTTTTGAACAAGGGTGTATAAATACTTCCTCTATTCATGTGAGGTATCACTTTTGCTCATTCCAACAGCTGAGAAACACCCTTGAGAGTGCCAAGAAGAGCAAGATCCTAGTGAGGTGATTGAGATTTAAGAGTCCAAGAGAGATGCCTCATTAGTGAAAGTAAGAGTAGCAAAGTGTGCATTTATCCTTCTCATTAGGCTTGTCATAGTCAAGTGAGAGTTCGTGCTTGTTACTCTTGGTGATCGCCATCACCTAGACGACTTGGTGGTGATTGAGAGCTTGGTGATCATCCGGGGGAGCTTATGGATGACCCAACATAAGTTATGAGCGGTTGTGGGTGATTCACCGCGACGGAGTGTCGAAGAATCAACCCGTAGAGAGCACTTGATCCTTACGCGGATCAAGGGGGAGCTACACCCTTGTGCGGGTGCTCCAACGAGGACTAGTGGGGAGTGGCAACTCTCCGATACCTTGGCAAAACATCGCCGCGTTCCTTCCTCTCTCTTTACTTTGAGCATTTACTTTGAGCAATTCAATTCTTGTCTTTACATTCATAGAATTGCCATGCTAGAGTAGGATTGGAACATAGGTTGCTAAACTTTTGTGCGGTAGAACAATAGAAACACTTTCTAGGCATAAGGGGTGAAGTGGGCTAACCGTAGGGTTTAATTATTGCAAAGAATTTTAGAATTAGCCTAATTCACCCCCCTCTTGGGCATCTTGATCCTTTCAGGATTGTATAACTAAAACGATTGCTGGAAAATAATGTCTTATTCGACAACATGGATATGTAGCCTAAGTACGGTCGTCGTTAGAACTAGCTCGTTAGCTGGTGAGGCGTGATCGGGCTTCTAAGCATTCTAGCTGTCGTTGATTATTTACATCTATGCATTTGCATCAATGCATATCATATATGTACGATGATAGATCAACGAATCAATCGAAGGATGATTGTGAATCCAAAGATGGTGTAATGATATTCTCTCCAAGAGATAATGCAATGGGCTTTCTATTCAGTTGATGGTGAATGGTCTGAAGATGCAGATACTAACTTTTTAATATATATCTTACCTAGGCAAGCCCCGGTGGATAACCCCAACTTTTCTGCACTTTAAATTATATTTGTGCATTAAGTTTTCAGGAGTTGAATGAAATCCACTTGCATATATATATCTTCATCTTATGAGTCTTACTAGTATTACAGGATCGTGTAGAATGCTATGCTACAGGACTCCGGTAGAAGTCGAGTGATTGCTTGTCACTCGCGAGAGATAGAAAATATGTTACTGTATTATTATCACTTGGAAAAAATAAATGGTGGAAAGGAAAAATGGTGACCGGGCAGGGATATGGTTTTGGTATTGGTGGTTGTAAGAGGTTGTGTCGCCGCGAACGTGGGGCATAGCTTGGTTACACTGCTTTCCCTGTCCATGTCGATTAAGAACCGGCTGTTGCATAAGACTCTATGCAGTCACAGACTTATTATCCCAAGCACATACTTGGATATGGACATTTGAAAGACTTGTTGCTCTCTTGTCGTGGATCTGGCTCTTTCCGGACCGACTGTCAGGGTGATTTTTGGGTTAGGAGGTCCTTGCACCGCACTGAGTCCGGGACTCAGGGGCAGGGGTTTAGAGTCCCAGTTTGGACGGGGATCTAGACACCTAGGACAGGAGGGTGATGGGTTGGTCCTGCTTGTGCCTTGGGTACAAGTAGGGCATATGTTTTTGGGGTACCCAGCTGGGGGCATTGATTCGCGAATCGTCGAAAAATCCGGTACGGCTTGTCGAAGGCCTTGCACCGTAGTAAGAATTGAAAGATAAAAGATGGAATGGAAAAGTAAATCTAATTGCTTACCACCTGTTTGAAAGTAGCACAGGTGCTTACATAGAATGGTTGGTTAATGAACTAATGCGTCTGTTAATAAAAATCGAATATATGGATGCACGCTTAGTAATGCTTTCTGCAGATGCAATAAACCCACAAGCCAGATAACCTTGCATATCCTTGGAGTCTTTTCTTTTCTTTTATCGGGTAAGTCTTGTTGAGTACAATTGAGTAATTAGGGTTTTATTTCCCCCTATTGGAGGTGACAGGTGGATGCTAGAGCTGACTCTTGGGTGTGGATTCCTCCTGGTGGGCTTAGAGAGGATTTTCTTTACGCTGCGATCATAGTTTTTATTTATAACTCTCGCCAAATCTTTTATTAAATGAAAGTTTTATAATCTATTATCATAGTTTATTTATCAATGCTTCATCATGTCATGAATAGATATTTATTTCCGCTGTAATTCTGATAACCTGTTTATATTCCGCTGTTCAATTAAATTATTCATAATTCTAATAATATGATTTCATTCCGCTGTTATAACAATAAATATTATACTCTGATGTATTAAAAGTGATGTAAGAAATAGTTAAGAATGATGTAAGCTTTATTCTCTCATTTGTGATCCTGATAGAAAAATATGGATTTTCGGGTTCTCCCCTGGGGTATGCCCGATGGAACTGCGTAATTTGATGTTCTCCCCTGAGTGCTTAGTGTCTAATGGAAGACGAGCACTCCTGGGAGGCATTAATTAGGCGGTTCTGCCACACCGACACATCCTTCTACTGCGGCGGCGGCCAGCAACATATCTTTCCAAGCGAGCTCCATAACGGCGACACATCCTTCCCCTAGCGAACTCCATCCCCTACAACACACTTTTCCCTGGGCTCTGTTGGTAGTGTTATTCCATTTGCTATGTTGGCATACACATTTCATGGATTGTATAGTGGTGGGTTTCGGAGATCCACCGGGTTCGGTGGCAATGGTGGTATTATCACCCAATGAGGTGTTTATGGTGGATTCAGGTTTTAAGTTTAGGTTTCACCGTTTCAGGGGTGAGCGCTTGATCCAAATGTGTCTTGTTGCCATCTCTAATCATATCCGAGATGTGGTAAGAGCCAAATGGCCAAGAGAGGAATGAGTTGGGCTCTAAAAATTTAAAGCAACAATCTGTCTATGCAAATTGTAAACCCAAGCACTGTGATACCTAAATTTTTCTAAAAAAGTTATTTAGTACTAAGATTACTTGAATATCTTATATTTCATGACGGACAAAAAAAGATTGGATCATTGGTTTTAAAAAACTGATCTGGACGGGTACAACATTCCTTCTAGGACGGGTGGTGCTCAAGTCGTGATCTTTGGGCGAACCGCTTCACCACAGACGGATCACGAAACCAAGAATCACTTGCTTATACAAGAAAAAAAAATAGAAATCATGCCTCTTTCAATCGAAAAGGGAAAAGCATGTAGCTACTCGCGCTCATGAAACCTAAGCAACGACGTGCGACGGCCTAAAGCAGCGGGCGATGTGAACGTGAGGCAGGCGAAAGTGGTGGTGGTGTCCGTGCCGGTGCCCGTGCCTGTTCCCCGCCGACGCCGAGGCCTCCTCCACCGCCCGCATGAACCGCTCGACGGCGCACGGGACGACGACGGCGCCCCGGTGCGCGAAGCCGTACTCCTCCCTGGCCTCCCCGAGCAGCTCCAGCATCCGCGGGTGGCCCAGGCGCGCCACGGGCACCGCCACCCGCCGCGGGGCCTCCCCTTCCTCCCCGACCCAGAACGTCGCGCACCCCTTGGTGACGACCGTCCGCGCCGCGTCGACGTCGTCGTCCGGCGCGTCGTGCCGCGACGGGGTCCCCGCGAGGAGGCGGGCGCGGGCGCCTTCTTTCACCTGCTGCTGTTGGTGATGCTGCGGCTTCATCGGTTGGGTCCTCCCCGTATGCCGTATGCCGCGTGCGGGCTCCTTCCTCGTCGTCCGTCCGTCTGGATCAGCTCGCGCGACCCGCGACGCGATCCCTGTCGTACGTCTCCGTGTCGGTGTGAGATTGGTTAGACGTGTGAATGATGGAGCGGAGGGACCCGCCGGATTTATGCGTCGGGGACGAGGAGGTGAAGGCGGTGGTGTCTGCGTGCGCGCTCTCCGCTCGCGTCGTGTTCGCTAGCGTTCGGTGCCGACTCCTCGCGGATTCTCGGAGACGGTGTGGAGGGGCCGATCCGTCGGACTCGGATTCCATCTCACAGTCTGACACGTTTCTCGTTCTAAACAAAACCTGGATCGTTGGTGAAGTGCCCACTTACCCTGGCCCCGTTGGCCGTTGCCGTTGCCTACCCGGCGCGCGCCAAGACGCCTGTCAGACCCATTCTACCGGATATCTAGACAAAAGCCCAACGCAATAGCCTCAACCCCACCAGGTCACTAGGTTAATTATGGCCCATCAGCCCACCTAACGCCTAAGCCCTATTTTTCGTACCTAGTCGATAGGTCGCATGAGAAAAATCTAGTGGCGTCTCCCTCTCAGCCCCTTTCTGTCTCCGTCTCTCGGTTCTGCTCCGTCCTCGGTCTAGCACAGACAATCGAGCGTAACACCCTAGTAGTTATATCGAAAATCTTTTACTAAAACATGTCATGAGCATCATGATTATGGGTTAATGCATGTAATATAGTGTGTAGATCAAATTTCATAACTCGAAACGATTGATAGAAATACGAAACGAAAGTTAATTTTATAGTCACGTTATATCACTTAGGGTTTTAAATAATTTTTTATTAAGCGAAAATGCTATAGAAGATATATGTGCTACTTAAATAAAGTTTGAAGTGCAAACTTTATAGATGACGATGAAATACCTGGGGTCCAAAAATGTTATCATTAGCTAACTGGTCTAATAGCATGGAAATCGAATTTGACGCGAATCCGATCAAGACTTAGTCACATTCCTAAGGCTGGAAAATAGTTTGACAAAGCTATATTTGGCAATTTTTATAGAGTAATTGGGTTAAGGAGTGATGTGGTTTTATGGTTGGTTTTAGTAGCCTAATATGCCCTCTTAAGTATAGTAAAGGTGGTTTGGCGATGGGATCAACGGTTTAGTCATGGTTGACGCTTTAAAAAGCGTGCATGGCACGTTCTTGGTCAGGTTCATCGCGTAGGCGCGGTCACCGCGCTCCTGAGCCAGCGGCGGCGCGCCAGCCGTGCACGCGCTCGTGTCTGGCCACACTCAGCTAGCCACTGTGTGCCGGCAGCCCTGGCTTGCAGTTGTCGCTCCTCACTGTCGCGATGCGCGCCGCTGTTGGTGTCCCTGGGGCTGGCCACGTCGCTCTGTGGCTCGGCTCTGCTCCGCCAGCCGCTGTCGCTGTTGCGCCGCTGCGCACACACCGCCTCGCACATGGGTGTTGCGACGGCGCCGGCCTCTCTCGCTGCTCTGGTGACGCTGCGTCAGTACGGGGTCAAGGACGCTGCCTTTCGCACGCGCGCCTGTTGCCGCTTGGGGCCAGTTGTGCCCTGTCGAAGTGATGCGGAGCTCTCGCGCGCGGCACATCGTGCCAAGCCACTGCTGGCCTCGTCCTGCGCCGCACGTGGAGTTGCCGTCCTCTCGCTTGTTCTTTTCTGTTGAATGGCTACACGACGCGTCGTGCTGTGCCTTCTCTGCATCTCTCTCTCACGCGCTGTTGCGATCGCCAGGGACGGGCAGGCGGGACCAAGCCGTGCCAATGCAAAATTCGCAGCGCCTGATCATTGTCAACTCAATTACTCGCGCTTGGTGCTAGTACTGGAGTTCTGCTACCGCCCAGTCCTCTCCGGCCTTCAATTGCGCCCAGCCGAACTCCAATTGGCCGTTTTCCCCTCCGCCGTGCCATTAAGGCAGGAACCGGCCGTGGCAGAGGGTAGCCACCAGCCGCACCACCTCTCATCAATCCATCTTCACCACGAGTTTCGCCTTCACCTCCACTTCGCCCTGCGCACCCCACTTGCACCGCCACTGCTTTCCTGGCGCTGCTGACACGGTTGCGCCACCATAGTCCGTCGCTGGGCTTGCCGTGTGCGCGTGGCCGGACGCACCCGGTCCGTCCCTGGTCAAGCCACCACCACAGGTAGCTTCGGGGTGAGTTGTGGATGCCCATCCATTGGTTCTATCACCTCGGTTGTGCCTAGGCTCACTGGAACACGGCCGTCGCCGCCGCAGGGTGTCCACCGCCATGGAGGGAGCTCCTGACCATGTCCTCGCTCATCTCTTCACCGCCCATCGATTCGTGTCTGCATCTAGGTGAGCATCAGCCCCTTAGAGGGGCGAGGGGAGGGGCCCGGATGGCCGGCGTGGCGGTCCAATGCCATCGTCGCCGCGCCGGTGCGCGCGGGGGTGGCGGGAGGACCCGCCCGTGGTAAAGAAGTGAATGGGGAGGGGCTTATCTATATAAGTGCAGACTGTAGGAATAGTGTTGCGGACCTCGGGGTAAATCATCGGTAGCTCAAGTGCGTTTTCGCTAAAGTGCCGGCGCGCGCGGGCCTCCCCATCGCGGGCCGTTTTCTGCGCGGATGGGCCGCGTCCCGCGTGGGCTGCGCCGGCGGATCGCGCGTGTGGGCCATACCGCACGTTAGTGGGCCGCACGGGTTGATTTCGGTTTTGTTTTTTCTAGAAGATAGAAGTAGCTTTATATTTTACATTCTAAGTTGAACTTTGAAAATTAATATCAATTCATATAAGTATCAAAAAATTGTGAAATAAATTCTGTTGAGTGCCTAAAAATGTTGTGTACCTGATAGTATGGTTAGTTTATATATGTCTATGTTGATGCTAAGGTCTATTAAATCATTTGGAAGTGTTAATGTTATTTAGATTAATAGTTGTAGGAATTCTTGTGGCAAATTGGTAATAGCTTTTACCATGAAATTTTTACAGTAGGTTCATTAGATTATTATGTGCTCACTATAATTTTTGTAGCCTTAGAATATGTTGATAAATATGGTAGCTAGTACTCCTTGTTTTATTATATATATATATTAAATCGGTATTAAGAATAAGGATGCCTTTAGTTGCTAAGATAATACATGAAATATTTCATACCTGTTTAGTGAGAATAATAGGTAACTTAGCGTCTTAGTCGGTAGAGCTAGCTTAGTAGCTTGATAGATGTATTCTTATTTTAAGAGTTGTTGTTGCCGTATTACTAAGTGTTGCATCATCATTTCATGCATGTAGATAACGAGTTGGTAGAGCTCGCGACTATGGACGAGCAGGAGTACGAGGAGGTAATTGAAGAGTACGAGGAGGAGATTCTCGTATAGGAAGAAGCCCCGGAGCCATTGGCGACTGACTTTGCTGACACGCCGCCTGCCCAAGGCAAGCCCCGGTGCATAACCCTTATTTTTGAATGATCACTGGATTTATATATGTGATATGCATTTACGTTACAGGCATTTTATAGAAACTACATGCATAGATATACTTACCTATGAGACCTACTAGCATAGGTCGAGTAGCTGCTATGCTCAGGATTTCGGTAGCGTGAGTAAACTGTCGTTACTCACCATAGGTGATTATTATTATCACTCATGAGAAAAATAGTGAAAAGAAAATAGAGACCGGGCAGAGATATGGTTTGAGTATTGGTGGGTGTAAGAGGTTGTGTCCTACGGCCAACGGGGCATAGCTTGGTTACATTGTTTTCCCTGTCTGTGTCAATTAAGGACCGGCCGTTGCATTGGGTTCTAGGCAAGTCACAAACTTATTATCTTGAACACATACTTGTGTATGGGCGCGGGAATGCTCATTATTCTCTTATCATGGGTTCTGGCTCTTTTTTGGACCGACTGATTGGAGGCGGGGATGGTGGAGGTCTAAGCACCACACTGAGTCCAGGACTTAGGAGCGGGGGCTTGGAGTCCAAGTTTGGACGGGGACCTAGACCCCGTGACAGGAGGGCAGTGGGTTGGTCCAGCTTATGCCTGGGGTACAAGCGGGGCGTGTGTTTTGGGATACCTAGCTGGGCACATTGATTTGCGAATCGCCGAGCAATCCAGTATGGTTTGTCTACAGTCTAGCACCGTAGTAAGAACTGGAAGATGAAAGGTGGTGAAATGGAACTGTTTGCTTAACTCTTGCTTAAAAGTAGAACAGGTGCTTACATAGAATGGTTGGATAATGACTAATCATGACTGCTAATAATAAACATACATAAGGATTCAATATTAGTATTGCTTTCCGTAAAAAGAAAACCCAGCAAAGCATAAAGCTTATCATATCACTTGGAGTCGGGAAATTATTCCCACTAGTCAGATAAGTCTTGCGAGTATATTGTGTACTCGGTGTTTATTTACCCCTATTGCAAGAGCATCTTGAGGAGTAGCTGTTGTGTGAAGGATTCTTCTGGTGGGCACAGACGGATCTTTGTATATTATCGATAGATGTTTATTTTAATTCTGCTGTTTAATTTCCGCACTCTGAACTTGGTACTGTAATAATGTATTTCTAAGAACTTTGGTTGTATGAAATTGACTAAGTATTGTAAACTCGCTCTTATTATTGGATTCTGGAGAAAAAATGTGGATTATTCGAGTTCTCCCTTGGGGTGTGCTCGACGAAATCTGTCCGAGGTAGCTTGCTTTTTAGGGTGCTTAGTGTCTGGTGAAAGACGAGCGCCTCCAAAGACGTGTTATTTCGGACGGTTCTGCCATAGTTGCCACCACACTTAGCCGCCTTGCACTGCTGCCGCACTCGCTCACCACGCGTAGCTGCCACACTTGCCCGCCGCGCGTTGCCGCCCTCACCCCTCGCTGCTACATGTGTGGTTGCGCCATCTCTCTGCTTCTCTGTACTCGGCGCCATATCTCCGTCATGCCCATCAAGTAGGAGTTAGCAAAAACCCGATACCTAATACCCATACCCGAACCCAGAATACTTGACTATAACTTCAAATAGTGA